CGTGTCTTGATGGGTACCGTCAGTCTGTTGGTACTCATTGCTGTGCATGTGGTTTTATACAGATGTACATCCATACAGTTCACCCTCCATCGATATGTGTCCTGATCTCCATCTAATGTATCGTGTCTTGATGGGTACCGTCAGTCTGTTGGTTCTCATTGCACTACGTGTGGTTTTATACAGATGCACATCCATACAGTTCCATCCTCATCGATATGTGTCTACTCCATGCTTGGGGCAGGATTCTAACGTATCGTGTCTTGACGGGCACCGGAAGTTCGTGCGTCACAACTGTGTTGCGGTCAGTATTACCAATGAAGCGCTGTGAAAAATAAAAATATGAGGGAAAATTAAACAAAAATGGAATTTTTCTCCAAACAACCAAACAAAAAATATTTTTTCTCTTAAGAGCTTACAAAGCTAGTCATATAATCAAACATATTGGACGCAATCTTATCAAATCGAAAGATTTAAGTTATAGATGTACTATAGACGAGAAGAGTAAAACAAAGAAATGTAAATGAAATACTTGATGAGCCATCCCGAGGTATTGTATATATTAGGCCAAGATTGTAATGCATTTCGGGAGTGTTTAACACAGGCATTCCGAAGTTGGGGAAAAATTGGGTGGAGATTGCATACAAGTGCATTTTGGGGCTGTTTTTTAACAATTACGTAGTTTAAAAATGTCTTTGCTCTTACCTTCGTGCAGTTTTCATCCCCTCTGTAGTCTTGCCAAGTGATGGTATTGTTTGTGAAGGACAAAGTGTACTCCTTCACCCACTGGGAATAACTTCGAATGTTTCTCCCTTGTGTGGCGATCTTTGTCACCCATTTCATTGTCCCCAAGTCTATCTGCATGTACTCGCCAATTCTTTTATGTTTTGCGCACCACCCCCCGTCCCAATTAGATTTCGGGGTTTTGTAAAGACGGCCGTAAGAGGGATTGCAATTCCTGGAATGCTTCGACGAGGCTGAAATTTGATTGTCTTTTATCTTTCCATCCTGCATTCCAAGAGGCGCAGAACAACCTAAATGCAATGAAATTTCAGAACAGGATTGAATCCCAAGAAACGTTTTTAAGAAAATAAGCGCTCGGATTTGATTCGCTGATTTGTTTTCCCGCCATGCAAGAAAGTTGGTTGTGTCTCGCGCGGAAAAAAACAAAACAAACAAAAACCGATTTTATTCTTTTCTAGTGTACTGAATTTACTCAAATTTGGCGCGAATCAAGAACGAATGTGCTCAATCCTGTCAACATATACTTAAAATGCGAGTTGGGACTTTTACAAAGCAATTTTTCCCAAGAAAGCATCAAGATTTGATAAAATCATTTGAATACTCTGGCTTTATATGGATTATTGCCTCCATTCTTGATATCTAAAGCTTACTTAAAAGAAAGTGAATGCTAATTTTTAACTTCGATAACGCGGGGAGTTGTTTGCCAATTCTCCACTGAGGAGTCTCCGGTCGGTATAAAACTCATTTCGCAAATGCCACTAGACTCATTTCACGATTCCTACTGCACCACGCGACTTACCTCACCGCGAGTTTAATAACAGTTAATTAGATTTTAAAAGTCCAATTTCTATATTTGATACCCTAATTAGTCCCATTGGTCCCATTCACGGTTTCTCTGCCATATTGAATAAATTATACTAATTAACAGAGAACAGYGAGTCATTTCGTTATAAATTTTCACCATGAAAAATAGCACGAACGGAATAAGATATGGGAAGACTGTCTGCATCAAATGAAGCAAGGGACGCTCATTAGCAAAAAACATTTTCTCCTGTAATTAAGTTAATGTTCAATAATTTAATGTCATTTTATTCAAGGGACCGTCGTAATTGGGGAAACCTGTGACGGTATCCCTTACCTGTGCTTGTAATTTGTTTATATTTTTCATTTTTTTCAAACTATGATTTGATGTTAGAAAAATGCTAAATAAAATAAAATAAAATAAATCGGCCCGAGGCTTCGCGTCGCTTCTATTGTCCCGGCAGATGTTATAAAGTGTTCTCCGTTTTCTCTTTCAACTTTTCTGTTTAGTTCAGTTCAGTTTGTAAATATGTAACTCAGCGGTAGTCTCCTTTCAATGTTCATTATTGTAATCTATTCAATATGGCAGAGGTACCGTGTAGGGGAATTTTGCATGCAGAGTAATCAGACTCGTAGCCAGTCGACAATTAACCATTTTTCTGCTATGGATCGCAAAAGAATATGAGAAGGCAATTAATGCGCACAACGACGACGCGTGTAAGAGTAAGAGCGACTAGGCACGAGTCTGGACTATCATCATGTCCAGATTTTCCTTACATGTGTACCCAACATCGATTTGTGGTTACTTTTATAAAGATGCTCAGAATGTGTTTTTTTTTTTACCTGAGATATCTGTGACTGATTTGCACTTCTTCTCTTCCTCCATCTTCGATCCTTCACACAAAAGTGGAGCACTGGTGTTCATGGGGGTGATACAACCATGGTAACGAACTATAGGACAACGACATGTAGACCATGGACCCCACTGGGTCAACCTTCCATCTGGATGATTCAAAGCGAGAAGAGGGTTGTAAGTAGTTAGTTAGGCAGACCGAAAGAGAAGCAGAAATGCAAGCCGGCAAGCAGAAATGCAAGCAGGCAAGCAGATTATTATGTCTGCTTGTAGGTATTTTTGTTAGGAAGGTTATTATTGCGTATGCATGTATTAGGAACAGATAACTTGGAAATCTAACTAGTTCCTGGATGAGCAGAGATGTAGATAGGTAACTTACAGCTGCACTTGAACGTGTCCCTATAGAAGTCAGGTGCACACCATTGATAGGAAGGACAAGGACTGGAAGAACAGGGGTTCTGATGGAAGCAAATAACGACATAAGAACTGTTAAGAACTATTGACAAGGAATAGTGTGGAAAATGAAATGATAGAGTAACAAAGAGAAGGGAATGCAACAACAACCGCGTGAGGCACCCAAACTGTGTGTGGTGGTGGTGATGGGGGGCATGATTGCAAAATATGAGACGAGTATTGAAATGGGTAAAAGTGGATAGACGGCTTTGATTGCGAAATTTATTGGATATTAGCAAGTACCAAACCCCCACCCCCAATCTAGTCCCTCCCTCTCCGTGTCCCCTGCAACAACGAAGAACAATGACGCAAGGACGAAGCCTGTCTAGAAACCAAAATAATAGAACAAAGAAAAAAACAGCTGATAGATGCCTTACTTTGATTGGACAGTATTCAAAGTCTTTCTTTGATACCAAGTGATCTGGATCTGACACGTGATCAGCGTCATTCAGTTCACATGTTCTCGCCATTCCTTCTACTGGACTCAGGTTGTACGACATACGTTTGTCTTCAAGATAACATTTGTTCTGACAATCCTCTAATCCGGGTGCTAAGATTCTTAAAGACCTGATGAGGTGACCAGTGAAGGTCTTGTTTTTCTCACAGTCAAGAAAGCCAAGCACCTTACAACCACCATCACCTGTGTAAGGAGGGAAAATGCAAATATTGAAAGAAAAACATCGAAAGAAAGTGTAAAGATTTCAAAGCAATATAAAAACATAAATCCTCACACACTAGGGGGCACGTACGGCAAATTAGACGAAGCGGGACAGATCGTCTCATGTACACTACTTCTATATCGTAAGAGAGCTTGTGAAGAAATTCTTCATATTGTAGGTTAAAATATGTCCTCACACACTTGGGGACACACGAAAGTAGGTAACAGGGAAAAAACTTGCTAGTAAGTTTCGTCCTCATAAGCAAAAATTTCAAAGTCACTAGCGATCGGACGGGGTGAATAGCAAACTTTACTCGATTTGGGTTCTTAACTTTTCAGTCCTTCAATTTCTGGACTGTGGTCATACTCGCAAAACTTAGCTAGTTAAATTTTTTGTCACTCGCTAAATGCAAAATTTCACMCGCATTTTGCGAGTTTGCGAGGGATAATTTCGTTCCCTGGGCAAGCGGGAACGGATCCTATTATGTACACAACTTTCTACGGTATATTGGAAGAGGGCTTGTGACTAAATTATTCTTTTTACAGGATAATATATGTTCTCAAACACAAGGGACGTAAGAAAGTAGGTGAAGCGGGGACAGGTGTAGACTTCTTTAAAGCTTGTGAAGGATCCTTTTTCATGATGTGATAGAATTGCAAAGAAATT